AAAAAAAAAACCAAACCCAAACCCTCCTAATGCAGCAATGGTGCTATGGTGGGACAGAAAGGGTCATTCCCCTACTCCTGGCTTTTCCCCACCCTACTACTGGCTCATTGGTTAGATGGGCTTCCCAGTGTGAACGCTCCTTCTTTGCTCTTAGAAATTGTATTAAAGGGTCTAGAATTCTCTCTATATTCTATCTTTTTGAACTCCAAACCACCACACTCTGGCAAGGCACCTCAATGTTAAACCTATCTTTCTTTTCTGGGGATGCTCCCCTCTTAATGGGCTGCTGTCAACTGCATTTCCAATAAGTACAGCCAGACTAGAGGCAGTTATATGGTTCAGTGGATAGAGCTGAGTCTGGAGTCAGACCTGAGTTCAAGTCTGGCCTCAGACAAAAGCTGTGTGATCTTGGGCAAGTCACTTAATCTCTGTTTGCCTAGGAGGCAACTGGGTGACTCAGTGGATAGAGCACTGGGTCGAGAGTCAGGAAACTGTTATTGTTAAGTTATTTTCAGTCATGTCCAAATCATTGCGACCCCATTTAGGTTTTTGGTTTTGTTTTTTGTTTTTTTTTTTGGCAAAGATACTGAAGCAGTTTGCCATTCCTTCTCTAGCTCATTTTACAGATAAGGAAACTGAGGCAAACAAGGTTAAGTGACTTGCCCAGCCTCACGTAGCTAGTAAGTATCTGAGGCTGGATTTGAATTCAGGTCTTAGTGCTCTATCCACTGCAACATCCAGCTGCCTTCCAGGTACAAATAAGTCTACTCAAAGTTTTACATCCTTTACAAGTTACCAAACAATCCATTCAAATCTGAAAGGGGCCTACAATTTACCAGGTTCAAACACAGTCTGAATGAGTCACACCCTACACTAACAATTAGAGTTAGAGAAAAGAGCTGTCTCAAGAAAATGGTGATTTTCTACCTAGAAGTAGCTGGGTGATGCAGTGGATAGAGTGCTGGGCCTGAAGTCAGGAAGACCTAAATTCAAATCTGCCCTCAGACGCCAGTTAGCTGCGTGACCTTGGGCAAGTCTCTTAACCTTAGTTTCCTTAACTGTAAGGTAGGGATAATAATAGCCCCTACTACTTGGGCTGTTGGGAGGATCAGGTGAGATAATACTTGTAAATCACTTAGCACAGTACCTGGCACATAGTAGGTGCTATATAAATTCTAGCTCTTATTGTTATTACCACATTCCCACCCCCATACAAGCTAGATTGTGAAGCTGGTTCATAGGGTCATTCATTCAGAGCTAGAAGAGACCTTTTGGGCCATCTAATCTAATCTCATTGTTTTACTCATTTACTATGGCATTTAATGTCATCGTCCTTCATCTTCAAAGAGGACCAATGACATCATGGGGTGATGTCTTGATTTGTAAATAAATTGGATTTAAGTGAGGCAGAGTTGCTCAAGGTCATCAGCCTCACTCTGTCTTCCACAATTGTCACAGTCCAGTGGCAAGACAAAAGTCAAATGACTGGCAAAGGCCTGGGATGTAGCAGATGACCTTGGCATCTCTGATGTCTCACCAAGCTCTACGTGCTGCGCTGCACCTGCTTCAGCCGCCTTTATGGCCTCTGGAATGAACTGTTCCCATTTGCTCATTCCGCCAGAGGAAGCCTTCCCATGCTTGGGGTAGACATCCTCCTGACTTACCAAGGGTTGACGCCTGTTTGTTACCCTCAACCTGGTTCATCCTCTCTGCCGGGACAATTTTGTTGGCATATGGCGGCTGCCTGTGCTACAGCTTCTTAGAGCTACAGGTGACTCAATCACTGAGTCTTAGGGAAGCCACAGCTTCCCACAGGGAGTCAATGGCAAAGCCAGGATTTGAACTCAGATTCCATGCATCTAGATTCAGCACTGCACTGCTCTTAGATATGGGTTGAACTAAATAGCCCCTGAGATCTTTCCCAATCCAAAAATTCTGCCATTCTATGCTTATTGTTATCAGTTGGAGTGAGATCTAAATGGGGGAGGCCTTTGGACATCCCCATAAACCCCACATACTTGTTAAGGCCAATCTGGAGAGAATATATTTATGAATAAAACCATCAAAAAGACTTTCCTAAGCCCTACCTATACATGGTACAGATTAGATGTGGTTGGATAATAAGGTCTCGTATTTCTATCATGCTTTCCAATATACAAAGGGCTTTCAAACACTTTATCTATCATGACACTCACAGCATCCCTAAATATCAGGTAGGGCAAGTATTATTGTACACATTTTACAAAGGGGGAAACTGAGGCTAAGTAGAGCTTTAGCACCTTGCTCAAGGTCACACAACAAGTGGGTGAGTCTAGAGCCTAGGTCTCCTGCCTTCCAGGTCAGAGTTCCTTCCATTGTCTTTATTTTTATTTTTGTAGTTCAGTTTTTATTTCATAACCATAAACTTAACTTGGACAGATTAAATCTAATAGATTTGTGGAAGGAAAAGGGAAATGAAACCCAAAGACGTGGAAACCTGAAAGCCATTTGTGTGACATGGTGTTTGCTATGGACAAGATGGCAGGATTCGCGTATTTCAGGATGAAGTTATCATTGCAAATTTCTCCCCTGGTAGATTGACTTGCCACCAGTGCCATTATTTCATGTGAAGTCATCAACCCAGGAATGAATGATTCTGTGAAAGCAGGATCCCTTTTATCCAAATCACATTTCTCCGGTGTTCAGAGCTCAGATCTTTTTTGCTGTCTTTGGGAAACTTGTCTCCAAATAGCCCAAGAATAACTCGGCCCAGGAGCTCGTTATCAATGGTGATGTCGAAGTATACAATGGGGTTGGCCAGAGTAATTGACGGTCGGGCTGGGTAGAGAAGGAAGTGGCAGCAGGGGTCTGGGTCCAATGGACTGAGCAAAGCCCTGAGCCCTCTGCGCTCCCAGCGGTGTCCGCAAATCCTTTCCATTGCGTTAAAATCCCTCGCCTACGGGGACCTGTGAAGCTTTTGTCTGTTAAGTAAATGAGCCAAACCTCTGAGAGCAGGACCCAAGCTGGTTGACACCTTTGCCTCCATCTAGGCTCGGGGGCAGGTCTCTCCCTCTGCTCTGCTGATTTACTGATCCCCCCATCTCCCCCTGCAGGTGGCTCCTTTTTGTCAGAGCTCAGGAAATGAGGGGGTTGGACCAGATGGAAGGTCCCTTTCAACTCTAAATCTCTAAAGCCGATGATAGCAGAGGGGGGAAGAGGTGAGGTGGAGTAAAAAGGCTGAGCCTCAGAGCTTCTCCCTGAAGAAAGTCCTCAATCCTGGGACTAGCCTTCCCTAAACAGCCTGCCAAAACTTCCTCGGGTGGTTAGGCAAGGTCCCCACAAGAGGTCCGTCATCTCAGCCCTAAACAACATCTCTTCCTTTACTCTGAAATCTCAGATAGAAAGGAACCTTAATCTTCATCTTAAACATCAAGTCCAATCTTTCATTCAGTGCAGTAATTACAGGTGGCTAGCAGCCGTTGCTCAAACACTTCCAGGAATGGGGAACTCACTACCTCCTAAGGCAACTCATTTCATTGAGGACCTGTTTTCATTGTTAGAAAGCTTTTTCTTGTGCTTCAGCTTCTTGTCCTAAAAGCCACAAAGAGGCTACCAATGTATGGGCTAGACCACATGTGGTCCTCTAGGTCCTCAAGTGCAGCCCTTTGACTGAATTCAAACTTCACAGCACAAATCTCATTCCAGGGGTTCCCTGTCCCTGGGCTAGATAGTCCAAAGCAGGTTGGGATCTACTGCATCTGCCCTAGGATGGCCAATTAGTCAACACAACTGAAGCCCAGACAAGACAACCCCCAAAATCTTAAAAACCTTTTGTTGTTATTGAATCGTGTTTCAGTCATGTCTAACTCTTCATGACCCCATTTGGGGTCTTCTTGGCAAAGGTGCTGGAGGAGTTTGCCATTTCCTTCTCCAGCTTATTTTACAGGTGAGGAACTGAGTCAAACAGGGTTAAGTGACTTGTCCAGGGTCACACAGTTAGTGTCTGAAACTGGATTTGAACTCATGAAGAGGAATCTTCCTGATTCCAGGCTGGACACTCTCTCCATTGCACCACCTAGCTGTCCTGTGCTACCTTAAAAATCCTCAAATCTAAAGTAAAAATTGGATTTAGTGAAGGCATAAGTAACAGAGGTAGGCTTCTAAGCCAGGTTCTGTGACCCTAAATCCACCATTGCTTCTGGAATATATTAGTATCATGGAATAGTATGAAGAAAATTGCCTCTGGTAGAAAAGAACACAGGTCCCAATTCCAGCTCTACTCTTGAGGACTCTCCATCTGAGGGATCTCAGATGCTAGCTAATTGACACTTCTCATTTTACAGTTAGGGAAACTGAGGCCCGTGGAGGTTGTTAGCTGTGTGAACTTGGGCTAGTAAATCTACCTCCTGGCTTCTTCTATAAAATGAGGGGGTTGAATGGTATCTAAAGTCCTATAATCGTCTGCCCAGCCGGGTCTTCTGAAGAGGTGGCCGGTCTGCCCCTCCAGTGGCATCTGGCAGTGTTCCCTTGCTTGTTTTTTAAACTTGAAGCCCAAAGGAAGAATTTTCTTCCCTCCTGCTCCAATGTGAGCTTGAGGAGAACTCAGCACCCTCTTAGGATAATTCCTCTCAAACCTCGAATACCCACAGTCTGTCTCAGGATATTTCTCTTGTGGTTATGGTG